CAGCCCCCTTAATACATCCCATGCCAAATAATCCAACCCCTGGCCACCCCTTCATCAGTCCCCTGCCCCCTCATCAATTCCCTCCCACCTATTTATCAGCCATCTGCCCCCATTTCATCAGCCCCCTGATCTCCTCATCAATCCCCTCCCACTCCTTTATCAACCACCTGCCCCCTTTAATCAGCCCCATGCCCCCCTTTTCAGTTTCCTGCCACCCTTTATCAGCCCCCTTAATAAATCCCCTGCCAATTAATGCAATCCATGCCACCCCTTCATCAATCCCCTGCCCCCCTTAATTAAATTCCTGCACCTCTTCAACAAAACCTATTTAATAAAAAAGAAAAAAAAAGTCACTCACAGTAAAGGCTGCTGCTCCCTGGACTGAGCTGTCTCCGCCGATTGAAGAGCACCGGGTGCCGCCTTCACTCACTGAATTGGATCCTTCCGCGGCTCCCTCTGATGACAGAGCACGTCGACGTTACGCAAGTACGCGGCATAACGCCCCCACGCTCCTCCTCCACCCTCCATACAGAAGTGGATTCCCGGCGGCGGCTCTCTGCTCATAATTTGCAAGTCAAGTGCAAAGCAGTATTATGCACTTGACTTGCACTTTAAATACAGAACTCGGCCGGCCTGCGAGCTGTGTTGGCCGCCCGGCGCCCCTGTTGCCATGGCGCCCTGTGCGGCCGCACAGCTCGCACACCCCTAAGGCCGGCCCTGATCAGAGGCCACCATAATCTTGGGCTTAGAACAGAGTGGTCGGTGTGGGTGGTACGATATAAAGAAAGGTGAGGGAATCCCCCAACAAGGGGACGTGAGGGATTCTAAACTGGTAAGATTGCTGGAAATAAAAATAATGGAAAGCTAACTAATGTATCTACAATAACTTGGTAGGATAAAAATACACAGTGCCTACAATGGGCTAAATAGAAACAAAAGTATCTACAATGAAAAGGAAACGTCATCTAAAAATAAAGATACAAATGCTCCAAAATGCCCAGCTAGGGACGTGTGAGCAGTTACCTCTAAACATGTGGATAATTTACCCCAGGGTGAATACTTGACAGTGCATACCTTATGGATACTAATATCAACTCATCCAAATAATGCTACTGCATCTACAGGAAAAAAACAGCCACAGGGGAATTATTCACAAAATAGTGTGTTGGATATCATCCACTAGCAGGCAAACTGCACAGTGGTGGGGGTAGAGGACCAGTGGGTTAGGGATAAGGAATCAATTAGGAGGCAAATAGAGAGAGATATCACGACAGGATCCAATAGGTGGTCGCTACCACTGTGCAGATAAAGATTCCTATCTATCCAACTGCTGAGTATGGCTAAAGCAGCTCCTGGGAATCACCTTCGTGTGTGTTAAGCGCTACTGTGGTTAAAGCAGAAGGAAGTATCTACCTGAATTATTTAACGGTCTGCAGCTCCTAGACAGTGGCGTCGCTAGGGGGGAGCAGAGGGGGCCATGGCCCTCCCTACATCATCTCGTGGCCCCTTCTCCCCCCAAATGCCAGTAACTTGCTGGCCATGTTCTTACATTATATTCCCTCGGACTGTAACAGTCTGTTACAGCCCGAGGGAATGCAGGACAGAACAGCTGGAGAGAGGCTTCCCCAGCACAGGCCCCGCCCCCAAATGAAGCCCGCACATAAGCCCAGCCCCCGCACATAAGCAGCAGACCTAGCTGCTGCTGGAAAGGCCAGAAGATGGCTGGCTGACCCCCAGCAACAGCCTCCAGTGACAGGTAGGCTTGGTGTGTGTATGGACTCAGCAGTCTGTATATATATATGTGTGTGTGCGCGCGTATGGATTCAGCAGTCTGTGTGTGTATGGACTGTATCAAGGGAAATGTGTTTTTTTTTTAATAATCCTTGGTGGAAAATAATGAATTCTATTTTCAATGCTATGTTCACACTTTATAGTTCTTGGAAATTCTTGGCTTGTTTAATTCTTTATTGTACATATTTAAAAATGTTTAAACCATCTCCCCTTCACCTAAATTCTGGCATTTTCCTTCATTTCTGTTTCCTAAATGTCACCATTTTTTCTAAATATCTTCTGTCTCTTCCCCCAAATGTTTTCCCATCTCTGTTCCCTAAATGTCGTCCCTGTCTGTATTTGTTCCTTTAATGTCGTCCCAGTCTCTCAGACATTTCCATGCTCCCACTAGATGTTTTGGCCTGTATTTCTTATACAAGGTTAAAGGACCACTCTAGGCACCCAGACCACTTCAGCTTAATGAAGTGGTCTGGGTGCCAGGTCCAGCTAGGATTAACCCTTTTTTTTTTATAAACATAGCAGTTTCAGAGAAACTGCTATGTTTATACTGAGGGTTAATCCAGCCTCCAGCGCCTCTAGTGGCTGTCTCATTGACAGCCACTAGAGGCGCTTGCGTGCTTCTCACTGTGAAAATCACAGTGAGAGCACGCAAGCGTCCATAGGAAAGCATTGTAAATGATTTCCTATGCGACCGGCTGAATGCGCGCGCGGCTTCTGCCGCGCATGCGCATTCAGCCGATGACGTCGCGAGCAAGGAGGAGAGGAGGAGTAGAGCTCCCCGCCTGGCGCTGGAGAAAGGTAAGTGTTTAACCCCTTCCTCTCCCCAGAGCCGGGCGGGAGGGGGACCCTGAGGGTAGTGGTCCTTTAAGCAAATGGACAGTTAGGGGTCTATTCATTACACAGTGACTAGAAAACTATTTTAAAACTTTAGTTAAAATAGCAGAGTTTAAATGGAGTATTTATCCAACTCTTCTAAATGTTGCAAGTCATTTTTCAATTGTTTATTGAACAGGCAGGGAAGAATGATTAAATAAAAGGAAAAAGGGTTTGGGGAAGCCTGGCGTAGAGTGAGCAGAGAAAACCTGGACACTGCAAACTATGGAAAAATGAAACAGTGAAAGATAGGGATAAATGCTAATAAGAGACAAAGTACACAGATTGCTAAGAGAGGGGACTGGGGAGGGCATGAGACAGATAACCAGACAAAATTACACATTGAAAACCAAACTGGAAAATTAGACAAAATAGCTGAAGTAGAAGAAACCTCCACCTAAACCTCAGTCATAGTTCGACTGTTTTGCCTAAACTTTCAATCCATTGTCATACAGTATTTTGTGAACAAACCTCTGAGAGAATGTATTTTCATTCATATGGGTAACGCCATAGTGGATTTTTGATTAGGGTAGTAAAGATTCTTTCACCAGCCCTGCACTTCTGTCTCCTTTATCTGATATAATGCATCTACCACCTCATCAATATTTTGGTGGTGACAATATCTCCTTGTCAATGAAGTAAACAGCTGTAATAAATAATTTGTGCCCAGCCCGGCTCCCAGTATTACAGCATAGATTTACTACTAGCATAATTCTGCACGAGCTACAAGTCAGACTGCTATCAGTTTTGTGTAATTGTACTTGTATGCAATAATAATACACTCAATATCATGTTATCCCCCCCATACTTTGTGTGTATGAGCAATCACACACTGCTGTAACACTGAGTTAATATCTGTGTGAATGATGACAAGCTGGGCAGGGGCTATATTATCTAGTCTGGGGGTAAGCTACCTTCGACACCCCAGATGTTGTGGACTACATCTCCCTTAATGCTCCACAAGATCTGGAGTGTCAAAGGTTGCCTACCCCTGATCTAGTGGGCGCTCTGTAGTGAAATGAAAAAGCAGTGCACAGGCTCACACAGTATTATAAACAGAGTTTTCTGAATATGAATCCTCATAAAACGTGCATAACCTCTTTGATGGCTTCAGTGCAGTTAAATGAACATGTTTGTATTTAACATGCAAGAGTGTCACTCATTCATTCATTCCTATGGGAACATAGTAGTCCGCATGCAATAGTATGTTCACCACTGTCTCGGGCAAAACTGAAGCAATGTCACAGAGGCATGGCAAGGATTGATGATAAAAGAAGAAATAGCATTCTGATACTTTTACACATTTACTTGTATGGAGAGTAATATTTTCTATATTTTGTACCAGTGAATATACCACCTCTAATATCTCTTCATGGCAAAAACAATCAACACATTTAATAGAACATTTACTAAAGATATTACTTAAACTAGAAGACTGATGTTATATGTAAAATTAATGAAAGGGACATGCATTATTTGTAATTACTAGCAAGCAAACACTTTTAAACATATACACAAACCAAAATAAAGCAAGAAAACTTTAAAAAGTATGTAATTAACATTTAGAAACTTACTATAAAATAGTAGAAAACTATATAAAAAAAAACCATTTATAATCTTTAGCCTCACACCCTCCTCTTATACACCCAGCTCAGTTTCAGACCAGTCCACTAATGACAGATACATAGCATCATTGTGCAGCAGGAGAGAGAAACCTGCCAATGGAGCGTGCTCGAATGCACGAATCACACTGACCAGACTCCATCTCTTCTTCCCTTGTAGAGATGTTGCAAAGTGAAGCGATATTCCAACTGCAAATGTTTAAATCTGTCACACATGCCAGTATTCCTAGGGATAGGTCACTGATTGGTTAGATTAGTCTCCCCCTGGAGGGGGTGTGAAAAGCATAAAAAGAAGAAGCACGTACAAGTGAAAAGCAAAACATGTTTATCTGGGTTTTTTTTCAGCCTATAGAATGTGGCAACTGTCTCATTCAAAGCTAAAGAGATAGTTGTCTCAAAGTGATGCATGTCCCTTTAATACTTTGGAAAAGGCATAGTAGGTACTTTAAATTGTCTATTCTACAAGCAGATTAACTGGCACGGTTAGTCTCACATTTAAGCCAAAATAGTCAAATTGGAGAATGCTCCAAGTCAGGTATGTTTTCACTTTAGCTCTTTTAGTCTAAAATTTGATAGCAAATTAATGCAAGTTTGCTTGTGATATGTATATGGCAACCCAGACCAAATACATAAAATCAGTTTGTGATTTCCAAACTAATGGGACTAACTGGTTCTTATTTGCCATCACTTTCTATGGTAATCAAAAATGCTAATTCAGTTTTCCTTGCATTTTGCTTTAAATATTTTAACCCCCAAGTCTGAAAACTCTTGCAGTAATTCAACGTCGAATGTCGTATTGAACTTTGATAAGAATTCATAATCTGTGTTAAATCTGAATTTATTGGACCATAAAAGGGTAGAACCTGGCTGACAAAAATGTTTCATAGTGTGCAGTAATTCTTCCAGATATGTGTGGTGATACACTACATCAGCTGCCAATATGTAATCACAAACACAAGTTGATAGGGAGAATCTGCTTTCCAGATCTTGTCCCCACACCAGTTCTCTCACTTCGGGATCATACAGTCTCTTTCCATTTGTGTTTCTCGATAAATTAAACCTCAGATTCCCAAGTATATCAGGCAAATCAGTTGCTATGACGTGAGACCCTAGAGGAGGAAATCAGTAACATACTGTACTGTGTGAACGTTGGGTATGAGGAGTGCATATTCTGCTACAAAACACCTTTATAGCACTTAACGCAAGCAAGAAACTCCATTAATAAAGCAGTGCACATTGAGGGTAATCTGAAGTTAATTTAAGCTTGCAAAAAGCCAATTAATTTACAGACCTAGGAGGCATGCAACAATGGATACCAGTCCTGTCCCAGAGCCAATTTCAAGAACCTTCTTGTGTCGCAAGTTGAATTCATCTTGGTTTCCTTCCAGAAAGTGACATAAAGCTGTTGCCTGTAAAAGGGAGAGGCATTAGTACTCTGAATCAATAAATATGCAAATTCACTAGTACTGATATTTTGTAATTCTGCTCAAATTATGGTAATAAAAAGAAATGTTTAGAAATGTTTCTCTGCTCAGTTCATCGTGGATGGTGCATAGCTGCCTCCTTATTAATGAGTTGTCATAAATACAGTATATAAATTGTAAAAAGGCACTGTGACAGCATACAAAACGGCAATAGAATTACCAACTCGACTGCACCAAATCTCCAGTAAGAGAAACTAGTGTTAGTGAAATATCCACCTGGCACCCTCTGCATTGAAAAGTTGAAATATAGGACTTACATGAAGCCCTAAAGAGGGTGGGGTGCAGAACCTTATAAAGAAACCATGTTGAAATGGCTCCTACTCTGTATATCAAGCATGTCAAACTCAAAGTCTGGATCTGGCCACATAAACAAGGTTTAAGTTTATGTGGGCCGCAAAAAAAATAAAAATACCGTAAATTTTCATAGTACAGTATTTTCACAGTATAAAAAATAACCAGCATCCCCCTCTACTAAACCACAGCACCCTGTGCTAAATCTGATCCTCCCGCTGAGACACACACAGACACACACACACACACACACACACACACACTCACAGACAGACACACACATACTCACTGACAGTCAGACACACACACACTCACTGACAGACACAAGCAGGTGCCTACACCAGCATGTACTCGCGGCTCGCCGGGCCGCAAAGACAGTCCTTGTGGGCCGCGAGTTTGACATGCTGTATATATTATAGGAGTCCTGGTTCTGCTCCCATCCTTGCACACATGTCCTATTTAAACCCTTCCCTGAAGAGAGTGCCAGGAGGATGGATGGATATACCATGTAAGTGAGCAGGCTTTAGGTCAATATAGAGCAGTGCCTGCAAAAATGGGGTACACAGAGAGTTGTGGCAGACTTATGTGGTATATGATCTTACATACATGCACACATACACAAACATATGTAGAGGCAGTCCACCTGTATCTAAATTCAATCCACCACTGTATCTAAATTCAATCCACCACTGTATCTAAATTCAATCTATCACTGTACCTAAATTCAATCTATCACTGTACCTAAATTCAATCCACCACTGTACCTAAATTCAATCCACCACTTTACCTAAATTCAATCTATCACTGTACCTAAATTCAATCCACCACTGTACCTAAATTCAATCCACCACTGTATCTAAATTCAATCTATCACTATACCTAAATTCAATCTATTACTGTACCTAAATTCAATCCACCACCGTACCTAAATTCAATCTATCACTTTATAAAATTCAATCCGCCACTGTATCTAAGTGGAAAAAAGCAAAGGTATGAGGAAGAGTTGCCCAATCCTGTTGACCAAAATAAATATTGTGTTGCTGTCATCAGGGCCGGATTAACATAGGATCTGATGGAGCTGCAACTCCAGGCCCATACCGATGGAATAGGCCCATACTTTTCACATGCATTTGCTTAAGTATGGAAACATATGAGGGATGTAGGGGATCAAAACTTGTGTGGACTTGCTGACAGTTAGTTAAAGTCAGCTTTAATTAAGGTAAAGCTGACTTTGCTCACTATGCAAATGCTCTTGCTGCTTCAGTCTCTCTTACACTGTGGCATGTTCCCTTTCTTCTACACTCACTACATACACATTTTCTCTGTCCCAGACTGTATAACAGGAGCTTCTGCCTGCTAGTAAGAAGGTTAGGAGAGGAGTGGACCAGCAAGTGCTAAGGCACAGTCCGTAGAAAGCGTGAGCAAGCGCATCATTAGAAAGCTCAGGGTGCTGTCTGCACAGTATGCCCTTAAATGGTCATTCTGCATGATTGGCAGGCAGCCTGGCGTGACATTCACGCCATTTTGACCATCTAATTCTTCATGCAGACCCGCCCCCTTTTTGGGAATGTTCTGGTTATGTGATTCACATCAGTGGCCCACCTTTTACCCTGCCCACTGAAATCTTGCGTCACTGGACACTGCTGTTAGGGGGTATGGATTTACTTGAAAGATTACAGCGAGAGATTAGCATAGGGTATGGGTTTTCTGATAGCTACATCTAGTAAGTGTCTCTCCAGCACCATCTCCACCAGAAACATGATGCATGGGAGATATGACTGTTTTAGTGTTTTCTGCTGATAAAATTCTCTAGTTAGGCCCATCATAATTGTCAGCACCAGGCCCAATGGGTTCTTAATCCAGCCCTGGCTGTCATAAAGAACTAAGACATAATGGGTGTCCTGTATAAGGAGGCAGTTAATAGTTACACTTTCTGTTCTGTGGCTGAGGTTAGTTATGCAAACTGTGTATAAGGCATACATTAAAACTGCATAGCTAATGACAAATATCCTGACCAATAACAATTCACTGAAGGCGGCCAATAACAGACATATCATTCAGAGATTCTAATGATCAGATAGTACGTGCTGGATGATTAGGCTGCTGCTTTGCTTCAGTTACCTTATGAATAATTAAACGTTAATATAAAATCAGAAAGCAATATATTTACTGTAATTATACGTCTGTTTGGTCACCTAAGTATTTCCTCTAACAAAAAAAAATTAACATTTGCTTTTCTTTTTGGAAAGTGTTTAAAAGCCCTTACACACTCTCTACAATTAACATAATGTCCTTATAGTTATATAAACTGGATTTTGCCCTACAGAAAAGTGGAGAAACGTTTCATCCTTAAAGGGTAAACTATAGTCACCAAAACAGCTTAATTAAGCAGTTTTGGTGTACAGATCATGCCCCTGCAGTCTCACTGCTAAATTCGCTGCCATTTAGACGTTAAATCATTTTGTTTGTGTAGCCCTAGTGACACCTCCCTGCATGTGACTTACACAGCCTTCCTAAACACTTCCTGTAAAAAGTCATCTAATGTTTACACTTCCTTGAATGCAAATTCTGTAATTTAGAATTTCTTATCTCCTGCTCTGTTAATAGCTTGCTAGACCATGCAGGAATCTACAGTATGTAATTAAAGTTAATTTTACAGAGCAGGAGATAAAACCGTCTAAAGTAAGTTACATCTAAATGAAAATTGAATCATTTTTTTCATAGCCAGGGGAGGTGTGGCTGGAGCTGTATAAACAGAAACAAAAGTGATTTAACTCCTAAATGGCAGAGAATTGAGCACTCAGACTGCAGGGACATGATCTATGTACTAAATCTGCTTCATGAAGCCAAAGTTGTTTGAGTGACTATAGGCAACTTTTCTAATGTTTTTGCCCTTCACCTCGGCTGGTAGGACAGTTATATAAATCCCTCCCCTTGAACATATTGTGGTCTAATTACAAAGCTGAAGAAGAACAAGAAGGAAAGGACCCTGATGCTGCCAGGAAAGAAAGGTACTTTAATAATGAATATATTTTCTCCTTTCCTGTCTTACCCTGGCAGAAACACTAATGGATAATATAAAGCCAGGAAAGAATATTACAGTATGTGTTTGATATTTTCCTGGCTAACAATGGCAGCGTTGCTAACTGGTGAATTTGTAAAGGAATCTAGCCAGGAAAAGAAAATGATCATTTTATTTTCTTTGACAACATTCGATACTCATTCTTACAAGATGGGTGCCACAGAATATCCAGCTCCCAAATTTTGTTTAGCAGAAGCTGAGACAATCCACAGAAAGACTGCCAAGTACCACAAAAATAGTAAGTGGCATTCTTGGGTTCAGACCAAAGATATGTTGTCTGCAATATAGTGTGATGATTTTATTCGTTTTGATAACAATAATATTGTTACATTCATTCATCGGTACTCACTAAACTCTAAATTTGTTTAACAGCAATTTAGGGCCTAAATTCTGAGGTATTTATAAACCTCCACACTGAGGATATCCAGCTCTGAATTGCCTTGAAATTACTTTATATACATTTAAGTACATATATTAGTTTATGTAGGCCCCTCCAAATGCATCTAAAATGTTGCATTTACAGCACTATAGTCCAAGATAACTTCAATTGCTCTGAGAACTGGTTCTGCAGTTCCTTGAATAATAATAATAAAATAAACCATCTGAATGGGACAGTTCCTGGCTTCATAGCCACACCCTGTTCTGATATACTGTTTGTGTTTTCACAGCACAAGGAAAAAAAACACAGTAGTTCTTAGCAGGAAGGCTTTCAACAAGATTGGTCACTAAAGCTAGCAACTCTTTTCCATATTTCCAACACCAGAGAGAGAGATTACAGCAATTGGAACACATTCAGATTTGTTGGTCACAGGTTTTAAGTAAAAAGAATTACAGGAGATAAAATATTTTAGAAATATAGAATGTGACGGCAGATAAGAACCATTTGGCCCACCTAGTCTGCCCAATTTTCTAAATACTTTCATTAGTCCATGGCCTTATCTTATAGTTATGATAGCCTTATGCCTATCCCATGCATGCTTAACCCCTTAAGGACCAAACTTCTGGAATAAAAGGGAATCATGACATGTCACACATGTCATGTGTCCTTAAGGGGTTAAACGCCTTTACTGCGTTAACCTCTACCACTTCAGCTGGATCCACTACCCTCTCAGTAAAGTAATACTTCCTGATATTATTTTTAAACCTTTGTCCCTCTAATTTAAGACTATGTCCTTTTGTTGTGGTAGTTTTTTCTTCTTTTAAATATAGTCTCCTCCTTTACTGTGTTGATTCCCTTTATGTATTTAATCCCTTAACGACCGAGGACGGTTCAGGACCGTCATCGGCATTTTTCCATTGCCGACCGGTGACGGTCCTGAGCCGTCCTAACGGTCTTATGTATTACCCGATCGCCATCGTTCCCCCAGCGGCTATCGGCGGTGCTCCCATTGTGGGGAGACTGCCTGCAGCCCAGACAGTCTCCCCATGGCGGATTAGGACCCCTGGGGCCATGTGATCGCTCAACAGAGCAGTCACTTGGTCACAATAGGTGTCCATGTGTCTGCCTGCAGGGGGACTGTCTGTGCTGACAGACAGTCTCCCTGCTAGTGAAAAATCATTAAAAAAAAATAACTGTTAATGTTAATAAAATAAAAAATAAAATATATATATATATATGATATATAGACATATTATATCTATATAATATATGTCTATATATCATATATATAATGTCATACTAAGTGTATTTTTATATTAATATGTACACATATTAATATAAAAATACACTTATAATTAAATTACACACGTATATATATATATAATATATATAATAACTATATATATTGTATGTATATATTATTATAAAAGACAAATAATAAGTAGATTAAATTATTTTTTTTTAAATAATAATAAAAATGTAAAACAATTTATATCTATATGAAATTGTATTCTAACTGTATTTTGATATTAAAATATATATATTTATATCAAAATACACTTAGAATGAAATTGTATATATATCTATGTATATATAAATAAATAAAAATAATACAAAATATACATATTCCCATATACAAAATTACATAAATAATTATATAAATATACACGTAGACTACAAATATATAAATATGCATATATATTTAAATTCTATGTGCGTATTTAGGTAATATTTTTACATAATTCAGTAATTTTATTAATTGCAATTTGAGGGACCTGCCTGCCAACCCAGGCCAAAAGTCCAGAGAATTTAATTTGCTAGCACTGTATTTTACCCTGTAATGTTCTATGACACCCTAAAACCTGTACATGGGGGGTACCGTTTTACTCGGGAGACTTCGCTGAACACAAATATTAGTGATTCAAAACAGTAAAACATATCACAGCGATGATATTGTCAGTGAAAGTTAATTTTTTTTTTTTTAGCATTTTTCACACACAAACAGCACTTTTACTGATGATATAATTGTTGTGATACGTTTTCCTGTTTTGAAACACTAATATTTGTGATCAGCAAAGTCTCCTGAGTATAACAGTACCCTCCATGTACAGATTTTATAGCGTTTATGAAAGTTACAGGGTCAAATATTTTTACATTGAAAATGGCCAGGTTGGTTAAGTTGTCTTTGAGATCGTATGGTAGCCCAGGAATGAGAATTACCCCCATGATGGCATACCATTTGCAAAAGAAGACAACCCAAGGTATTGCAAATGGGGTATGTCCAGTCTTTTTTAGTAGCCACTTAGTCACAAACACTGGCCAAAATTAGCATTCAATTTAGTTTTTTACTTTTTTCACACACAAACAAATATGAATGCTAACTTTGGCCAGTGTTTGGACTATGGACATACCCCATATTGAATACCCTGGGTTGTCTACTTTAAAAAAAATATGTACATGTGGGGTGTTATTCAGAGATTTATGACAGATAATAGTGTTACAATGTCACTATTGATAAATTTGAAAAAATTTATGTTTTGAAACCGCAATAGCCTACTTGTACCTATAGCCCTATAACTTGCAAATAAAAGCAAAAAAGCATGTAAACACTGGGTATTTTAAAACTCAGGACAAAATTTGGTATCTATTTAGCAGTTTTTTTTATTCGCTTTTGTAGATGAGTAAAAGATTTTTCAAGTAAAAGTAAAAAAACATGTATTTTTTTCAATTTTTCATCATTTTTTTTATTTTTTTTAAATTAAATTACATGAGATTATATACATAATGGTATGTAAAGAAAGCCTTTTTTGTCCTGAAAAAAAACAATATATAATTTGTATAGGAACAGTAAATGAGAGCGGAAAATTACAGCCAAAGACAAACACCACAAAAGTGTAAAAAGAGGCCTGGTCGCAAATGTACAACATCGCAAAAACAGTCCAGTCCTTAAGGGGTTAAATATTTCCATCATATCCCCCCGTCTCGTCTTTCCTCCAAGCTATACATGTTAAGATCCTTTAACCTTTCCTTGTAAGTTTTATCCTGCAATGCATGAACCAGTTTAGCAGCCCTTCTCTGAACTTTCTCGAAAGTATCAATATCCTTCTGAAGATACAGTCTCCAGTACTGTGTACAAAACTCCAAGTGAGGTCTCACCAGTGTTCTGTACAATGGCATGAGCACTTCCCTCTTTCTACTGCTAATACCTCTCCCTATACAACCAAGCACTCTGCTAGCATTTCCTGCTGCTCTATTACATTGTCTGCCTACCTTTAAGTCTCATTGAAGTGCCCCTGTTTGCTTAATCCTGCAATGTAAAACATGGCAGATTCCGAGAAACTGTAACAATTAACTAAATTTCTAGTGACTGTCAACCAGACTGCCACTAGAGGTGCTGCCTGGTGCTTCACAGAGTTTAACTCCATTAAGCGATATTGGATGTCCTTACACTTTGCATGAGGTTGTCCAGCGTCTTGAAAATCCAAATAGGAAAACATTGATTCAATACTTTCCTATGGAGAAGCCCTAGTGCGCGTGCGGCACGTGGCGCACATGCACATTATGTTCTCCAATTTGTTGTGATGACTCGTGAGGAGGAGAACAAGCCAGCGCCGATGGACCTCAGCGATGAAATCAGGTAAGTGAAATAAAGTGTTTTTAACCATTTATTCACTGAGGAGAGGGTCACTATAGCGTTTGGAGTACAGTTTTGTATTCTGAACACTATAGTGTTCCTTTAAGAAGAGAGGACCTTATGGGAGACTCAAGGCATTAAAACTAGTTTGGATTGGTCTCTCCCAGAACAACAGAATAATGCCCTGTTTCCAGCACAGTGAAAAAAGGGGAGATGGAAATATATATATATATATAAATACACACAATGTATATCCTGGGGTCATTCACTAAATTGAGAATTGCCAGGAATTCAAACTGAATTTAAAATGTAAGGCCAGAGTAGCTGAACTGAAAGCATAGCTGACTAAGAGAATTTTTCCAGTTTGGTTATTCTGGCCTTAAAGTAACACTATAGCGTTAGGAATACAAATACGTATTCCGAATGCTATAGTGCCCTAGGAATAGATATGTAAGTGGTGCACCTATTGAACTCCAAATATTAGCACATGTGCCAATGTCAGGATTCCTGCTCCAGGAGATGAAAAATAATTAATATTCAAAATTAAGACTCCAACACCCAGTGATGAAAGGCAGGCCTGTCTTCTTATGACGTCTGAATAAACCCACACTTCACCTTTTATCAACATGCTGAAGTTGTATTTATTTATTTTTTTGCTACAGTGCCCGAGTGCTGAAAGGGTTAAAAATGTTTTGTTTGTTTTTTTGCATTTTTAATTTTTTTAAACTTTATTCCCTTGGCTGAGATCGTCCAGCCTGCTAGGCTCTTGCTTGCAATTAACAGAGTGTGAGGTAAGAAATGCTAAATTAAACACACTGTGGAATAAGGGAAGATTAAAAATGTAATGTCTTTGTTGAGGAAGTTTAGGGAAGCTGTGTGCTTCATAGTCACAGGTGGTGTGGTTAGGAGAAAACAAAGTAAACGGTATTAACAAAATGATTTAACCCCTAAATGGCAGATAATTGAGTAGTTAGATTGCAGGTGCATTAACACAATTTCATTGTGTTGATTGGCAGCATGGAAATGCTGCCCTGTATGATGGATAATATATATGCTACAGGATTCCTGATTGAATTATCCCATAATTTACTAGCTGCAACATTGGACTTCTACATACAACAGGGCAGCACTTTCTGTATATTGGCTATCAATTTGTTTAAATAATATGTGTTCAGGAAAACATGGTGGCTATGGTATCCTTGGATATAAAGTACCCAATTAATGATGATTAATATATCAAAGTGATAGTTAAAGAGACATTGCTGGCACTATAACCATTTCATCTCTGGCACTGTCCCTCTACCCCATGTTTATTTTTGAGCAGCTTAACACAAAAAAATGGTCCCTGGCCACCTACCTCTGGAGGTATGGCTGGGGCAGAGATTACACACTTTCTTCTAGTTATACTAATTCATACCAGCAAAGGGCGCTGTGTTAGGCTTGAGACAACCAGCTGACAGTCTCAGCCAATCACAGACACCTACCGACACTCATTAGTCAAGATAAATAGATATAGAGAGGCATCCCTCTCTGCCAATATAGTCAGTAAGTAAATCCTTTGGATACAACGATGATATGTGTATATTTTACACACAGTGTAAGTTAATGGGGATTTTGTTTTCGACATGTGATATTCCTATTTGCCATAAAACATTACTGCAGGGACCATAAAACTATTTTTAGCGAATATTTCTAGGGCAAATAACATGGGGATCTTTAGTGTGATTGCCCTACATGAAATGACTCAATTAAAAGTTAGGATGATTATAAGAACATTGAAGCTATTTAGAGGATCTACTTTCAGGTCATGATGTAAATTAACCTACTTTGTTAAAAGTTCTATTACTGAGGATATGAAATAATGCCATGTTTGTCATTAGATTGGGCCTGCCTGGCTAATCTACTTCCATTCCGATACAAACATAAAAGTGAAAAAAAAAAAGCCGTTTTAACATTTTTAAAATGTGTGTGTATAGATATGCTAGCATACTACTGGTGGTCATGTCTTATTTATTTATGTTGTTATTGAGGCATCAACAATATAGTTTATCTGCCTTTTAAAATGTGTTATTACAAGGAGTGGATGTATGTTTGCAGTTTAACCCTCTTTACTCCACTTTACACTATGGGTGCCCAAAAAGTAGATCCCCAGATGTTTTAGATCTACAACTTTCTTGATGCGTTGCATGCCTTTAGAATGACAAAGCATTATTGAAGCTGTAGTTTTAAAACATTTGGGGATATACCTTTTGGGCACCCCTGCTTTACACAGATTATTATGGAGCTTGTGTTTATTTTCTAAGACACTGAATGATAAGGAGTTGTATCATTTAATGTTTAAAGGGAGTTTAGTGTGAGGGACACTCAGGTTCTAAATGGCAAGAGCCAATCCATTGATTAGCAGGCATTTGATTCCTCCAATGCAGGAATTTGGGCACAAGTTTACCCATATAATATAAGTAATTCAGCTAAATTGTAGCCGCAAACATACTGGCTTCATTCAGTTTTTCCAGTTCGCATGATATGGACCAGAGTAATTGCACCTAAATCTTTTAAGTCCCCTAATCTTATGTTACCCCAAATCACTCTTTAACACTCTAAGGTTCCCAATTAACTATTTAACATAGTGTATCAACATTGTGGAACCCCCACACCCCCCAGAATTTTTTTAAAAAATTGTGCCGTTTTTTTTGTATGTGCCGGTGTGTCAATGTGTGTATATCTGTGCTTCTATGTGCCTGTGTGTGTTTCTGACACACAGACACACACACACACACACACACTGGCAGATAGTGGCACACAGATACACACACCTCTGTGTGTGTGTGTGTGTGTGTGTATATATCTTTGTGTCAATGCATTTTTTGAGCTGAAGTGGCCTGGGTGCCTATGGTGTCCCTTTTAAGTATGAATTGACATTGTCTGGTGCCCTAGAATTGAGCAATTGAAGAGCATGCAGTATGTGAGGTGATGCCAATAAGGGAACTTCATTCATTAGCAAGAAGGCTGACTCTGGAATATTTCATAAGACAACTGTCATGAAATGTTTTAAATAAAAAATTTTTTTTATCTGGCTGAGTAGCCATGTTGGGTCATTCTCTATTGTTATTTGACCAATCACTGCTCAGTCTAACTTGCCTGTTGTAAGGTTGAGCAGTAGGTAGTCAAAAAGTAGAGACTGACCCATCATGGATGCTCAGCAAAATAAAAAAGTGAAACTTTATCAAACAAATCAATATACATCAGTTTAGAAAATCATTGTTTCATTAAATGTAATAAACGTTTAGGAATTGAAAAATTAACAACCTCTTCAGGACACATGACAGAAATATTCCGTCATGATTCCCTTTTATTCCAGAAGGTGTGTCCTTAAGGGGTTAAAATGTTATGCCAGTTGTCATTATAGCCTGAATTTGTGGTAAGTACTGCAGTGAGTATCTTTTTAAAGTTACAGTTCCAAATTAAACACATGAGTTTAAGATGCATATTACCCATGCCTACTATCACAGAGAGTCAAAATACTTTTCTTTGAAAAAGACCTAGCCGCACATCACACCTGATGTTTAGAAGTCCCTTCATCTTTTGCGTGTTACTTAAATCCTTAAAGGGACACTATAGGCACTCAGAACATTTTATCTCTTTGAAATGATCTGGGTGAAGTGTCTAGTTAAGGACAGGGCATGCATTTTTTGTATTTCTAATGCTATAGTGTTCCTTAAAGTTTGATACAGTAATCAACTGGATCAACTCTATTCTATCCACACTTATTCAGTCTGTCTGTCCTAAAGATTGTCTTATACCTCATCACACCATCACCTTATGTACTTACCTATGTGCTGTAAGCCAAAACTGCAGGTTATATACACACTAGGAAATCATATATTATTGAGCAGTTGTGTTATAAAATACTAAAGGTATATTGTGCTGTCTGTTATATGATCATTGCATTGAGCATACCTGGTGATTTTTGTTGTTGTAATTACAGTTCAGTTCATCACGAGTCTTTGTTATAGAGCACATTAATTTTTATGTCTGTTACAGAGGCACAGAAGCCATTTTAGTTTCAGAAGCAGACAAGTGATGCTCTTAGATTTTGTCTATAGATACACATATGCCCATAAGTCTATTTAGTATAATACTTATTTTCAAAGTGTCCCATGTAAATACATAATGTAATCTTAGTTTATCTGGTTGTATTGCAGTTTTACTGAACTATTCATAGAAGTAAACTCAGTTTGAGAGAAAAACAAAGTTATTTCTGTCTGTTTTGTTAGTAGGACAGCAAATGCATAATTACTCACTCCTGGCCAGATTACTCCTCCGTAGCCTTCAATGGACTCCTGAATTGTAATTTGGTGCCCTGCAAACCAGAATTGCTCTTTGGCAAAACAGGTGTAGACAGTGGGAGCCCATGCCTTGTTGGGTTTGACAGATGATTTGTAGTCACATAAGATGTCTATGAGAAAACACATATATCTAAGTTAGCACAATGTAGTTGGATCTGGAGCTTGTTTGCACAGGTACCTGACAACCTTCTGTTCACATACTCCTGCCTTGTATTGATATAACTACTTGGTTTTTAGTCAAGCTATTGTACATAGATGCAAAATCTGTTGGAACTCTCTAAATAATAATTAATGTCTAAACTATTGGCAACAAAAGTGAGTACACCCCTAAGTGGAAATGTCCAAATTGGGCCCAATTAGCCATTCTCCCTCCCCGGTATCATGTGACTTGTTAGTGTTACAAGGTCTCAGGTGTGGATGGGGAGCAGGGGTGTTAAATTTTGTGTTATCACTCTCACACTCTCTCACTGGAAGTTTAACATGACACCTCATGGCAAAGAACTCTCTAAGGATCTGAAAAAAAAATTCTTGTTCTACATAAAGATGGCCAAGGCTATAAGAAAATTGCCAAGACCCTGAAACTGAGCTGCAGCACGGTGGGAAAGACCATACAACGGTTTCACATGACACTTTCCACTCCGAACAGGCCCCGCTTGGTTGACCAAAGAAGTTGAGTGCACATGCTTAGCGTCATATCCAGAGGTTGCAAGCATTTTTGCAGAGGTTGAAGGGGAGGTGGGTCAGCCTGTCAGTGCTCAGACCACACGCCGCACACTGCATCAAATTGGTCTGCATGGTTGTCGTCCCAGAAGGAAACCTCTTCTAATGATAATGCACAAGAAAGCCCGCAAACAGTTTGCTGAAGACAAGCAGACTAAGGACATGGTTTACTGGAATCATGTAGTGTGGTCCGATGAGACCAAGATAAACTTATTTGGTTTAGATGGTGTCAAGCGTGTGTGGCGGCAAACAGGTGAGGAGTACAAAGACAAGTGTGTCTTGCCTACAGTCAAGCATGGTGGTGGGAGTGTCACTGTCTGGGCCTGCATGATTGCTGCCGGCACTGGGGAGCTACGGTTCATTGAGGGAACCATGAATGCCCACATGTACTGTGACATACTGAAGCAGAGCATGATCCCCTCCCTTCAGAGACTGGGCTGCAGGGCAGTATTCCAACATGATAAAGACCCCATACACACCTCCAAGATGACCACTGCTTTGCTAAATAAACTGAAGGTAAAGGTGATGGACTGGCCAAGCATGTCTCCACACCTAGACCCTATTGAGCATCGGTGGGGCATCCTCAAATAGAAGGTGGGGGAGTGCAAGGTCTCTAACATCCACCAGCTCCGTGATATCGTCATGGAGGAGTGGAAGAGGACTCCACTGGAAACCTTCTGAAGCGCTGGTG